GCCTCAGCACTCTCCGCAGGGGCCGCTCCTGAATCCGAGTCCCCAACCATCTGATGATGGTCATGGCCCTTCCGGGCCTTCCCACTCGCCCAGGTCTACAGGTCTCAGTGCTGCAGGTAAGGACAGCAAAAGATGAAGAGGGGAGTCGACGCCGCAGCAGGCAGCCGCGACGACGCCAAACCGCCCCGACTCCGACCCGGCTGAGGTCCGGAGACGCTGGAAAAAGGGCTGCCACCCCAACCTAGCCTAACCCGGTCCCGTCCCCTCACCTGGCGAGCGCCGGGGCGGAACTGGAAGCGTCTGGCCTCCCATGGGAGGACGCTAAGGGCCTCGGGCAGCGACAGCAGCGCCGATCAGACGCAGCCTGCGGAGCTCTGCCCGCGCCCACACCCTCTCGCACTGCCAGCCGGGCCCGCCGCCGGAGGTCCAGCCCCGCCGCCCAAGGTCCGGGCCCGGCTGCGGTCACTGACATAGAGAGGGGCGGAGAAGGACGGGAGAGGTCCGAGCTAGGGGCCGGGCGGCACTGCGCCTGCGTCAACTGGCAACGTCTCACGTCACGACGCCGGCGCCTCAAGCCACGCCACCCGAGCCCCGCCCAGGACTCCGCGGCGCCCCGCCCCTTCCCCCCTCCCTCTCCCCGGGATGGGGGCCAGAGCCGGAGCCGTGTACTAGGGAAAGTGGAAAAACTTTCCGGTTCCTCAAATCGAAACGTAAACTGAAACTAAATGGCCCTGGAACTAGAAGAAAGAGGGAAGAGGCGGGAGGGGAGAAGGGAGAGAGGGGTGAGATTCACTGTGGTGCTGACCTAAGCACTGAGCGGACGTTGGAATCTAGTTTCTGACTCTACGCCTTTCCATCCCGGTGACCAAGAACTACCGGGCAACTACAGCTGCAAGTAGACAGTATCATCGTGATGAATTATTTTAAAAGCCTTTCTATTCTAAAGATGTTTGATGTTGTGAAGATCAGGAAGCTCTCTTTCACTGGACTCATTTTTTTCCCAGCGAGCTGGACCCTACACCTGTTTCCCGCCTTTCACTTTTCACCAGCTTGTCCCGAAAATTAGGGTACAAAAGCCACTGTCTCCATCCAGAGGCCTCAATAAGAATTGCTCTAGCGATGGAAGCCCTCTAATGAATTTTTTTTCTTTAACTTTGTATTTTGAAATAATTTCAGATTCACAGGAAATTGAAAAAAAAAAAAGTACGGAGTGGCCTTGTGTACTCTTCCCCCAATTTCCCCCAATGGTTATATCTTACATAATTATAATACAACGTTACCACCAGGAATTTGGCATTGGTATAATGTGTGTACAAAGCTTTATGTCATTTTATGACATGTAAATTCATGTAGCCATCATTGCAAACAAGATACAGAATTATTCTACCACCACAGTATTAGAAAGGGTTTGGGGGAACAGTTATCCCCTTACCTTGCTAGGGGGCATGTGAATTGATTTAGCCTTGATAGAGAGCAGTACAGCGATCTTTTAAAAACTTTAAGTGCACTACCTTTGACCCAGTATTTCCACTTCTAGAATGAATCATACAGATATCTTCGCACATGACCAAAATGTACCAGCTATCTATTGCTACGCTGTTCATAAAAGACTGTTAACAATCTACAAATGTTCAATTATAAAAAACTAGTTAAAAATTATGCAACATTTGTAGAGCAATGGAAAATGTGATAGCTATAAATGCCCTAATCAGGACCCCCTCTCATTTCGAGAGCTGTAACTTCCTGCTCTACTAAAATTATCCTCTGCTACAAACTGTAAAAATAAATAAAATAAATGCCCTGCTATGAGATGACCTTATAGTTTTATAATATAATGTAATTATAAAAAGGTGAAGAGGAAAAAAATAGATGTGTATGTATGAAAAGTAATAATAGTCCAAAACCAACAAACTGACTTGAAAAACATACTGGTCAAAAGACCAAATTGACATACAATATTATTCAGCTTCAGCTTCAGGTGTACAGTGCAGGTGTCAAGCCTCTACACCATCCATGAAGTAGCCTCCTTAAAAAGACATGTGAATAATATTGCATGTCAACTATAATTATATATATATATATATATATATATATATATATATAGTCACGGGATGTGGAGTATAGTATGGGAAGTGGAGTCAATGGAATTGTAAAAGATATGTATGATATGGGGGGGGCGGTGGATTGGGGGAGGAGAGTTGTCACTCTGTGAGGGATGAAATGTATAACTATTGCATTATTTTGTACACCTGAAACTAAAATAAAAGACCAAATTGGACAAAAGTTAAAATTTCCAGTCAATGGCACCTAGTGTAAAATAACGTGAATGTGTGTGTGTGTGTGTGTACACACACACACACACACACTTTTAGGCATAAGTTATACATGGGGAAATACTGGAGGAATGGGTACAGACCATCATAGGAAAGGGGAAGTTTTCCTGGACCAGGATGAGTTTGGAGAAAGATTCACTGTGTATCCTTTCTATAACATCTGAGTTTTGTAATGTGTGCATGCGTTACCTCTTCTAAAGTAAAATAAAGTATTTTCATGAAATATAATTATCTTTTTCTTTGGCTCGCCCACCAATTTATGCTTTCTCCCTCCAGACCCAAGCTGAGTTTATACTTGTATTGGTTTGCTGAGGCTGCCATAACAAAATCACAGAGTGTGTGGTTTAACCAGCAAACTTATTTTCTAACTGTTGAGGAGACTGGAAATCTGAGATCAAGATCTCAGCAGGTTCAGTTTTTACTGAGACTCTCTCCTGCAGATGGCTGCCTTCTCATGTGTCTTCACCTGGTCCTGTCTCTGTGCAAGGGTGACCTTGGTGTCTCTCCATGAGTCCCAATCTCTTCTTCTTGCAAAGACACCAGTGGATTGGATTAGAGCTCATCCTAACACCCTCATTTTCACTTAATTACCTCTTTAAAGGCCCTATCTCCTGGGGAGGTCTGAGGATTAAGGCTTCAACATAAATGAGGGGACACAATTCAGGTCATAACACTTGACATAATGCCTCCTAGAACGACTCTCATTTTCACTCTTCTACAATTCTTTAAATATACGCTCCACGTACTTTATTTTAGAACTCTTTATTTTGTAATCTTGTCCATTTATCAATCTTTTTTTAAAAGTGTAAAGTTTAAAAATTTTTGTAAGTTATCATTTCACTTTGTGTATGTTCCAGAAAAGGCTGGAGGGTGGGGTTTTTACCCTCATCCCTTAATATTGGTCACACCTGCTTGGCATGTGTGCTAGCCTAAGTGACAGCATCCTAATTCTCAAAGGAACTCTTTCCATTTCCTTTTTTGCTGCAGTATTTCTGCAATTAATTGATCGTGTATCATTGTACTTCAGTTCCTCTGGTCACAATGTGACAAATTGTTTCAAAGTCTCCTTCAATTTAATTTTTCATGCCTCTATTTTCCTTCTTCAGTCAAGAAATATTTAATATCTTGTATGCCAGACATTGGACTAGGCCCTAGCTATGCAGAAATGACCAAGGTGGACATGGCCCCTCCCCCTGAGGAGCTTATAGTCAGTGGTCAATACAGAGAGTAAACCAAAAGTTAAATTCTAAGCTATCACTGCAGTCTAATGATTCCTGTTTATAATAGTTTCCTTCCCCCAACCCACATTAGGTTCAAGCTCTTCGGACCATATGTGATAGAGCCCTAACCCAAGTTGGCGTAAGTGACAATGATGTGCTGGCCCTCAAAAGCTCTGAACTCTAGAAGGAGATTGGCTTCAGGCCAAGCATGAGGCTCCAAGCTGTGCCTATCTCGAGACCTGACTTCTGTGTCTCTCAGCAAAGCCACTCACTGAGTTCGCTTCAATCGCGTGTTTCTCGTGGTAGCAAAACAGTGGCAGAGCTTCAGGTCCTACTCCCTCCCCATTTGTTGATCAAGCAACAAAAAGCAAGAGTCTTTTCTCCAGAAATCTCAGTCAAAGTCTCCTTGAGTCTCACAGACTGTTCTTGGGTCTCACGCTTATCCCTATGGCAATGGGGACTCCAGTGGTGTTGACTCGTGTAGCCCTTGGTCATGCCCTCCACCCCCAGAATCAGAGCTAGAACCAACCTCACACCATCACCACTTCATCAGTAAAGATGCAGCACAATGTTTTCCAATTTTTCTGTTTCTAAGTTCCTTTCTGCCCTCCTAGACTGTGAATTATCTGAGGAAGGAACTGTCTTACAGGGCTTTGTACTCAGGCCTAGCATTGTGACTGGCATAACGTAAGCACTCAATAAATGGTTATTAAATAAGTGAAGGAAGAAACAATTCATTTCAGATAACAGGAAATCTATATACAAACAAAAATGTGAAAGAGTGTTTAAAAAATCAACACTTGAATGTGAAATACTGCACACTTTACTTGAATTTCTATTTACTTTAGAACAATACTTTAAAAATAAAGTTACCATTACCTGGCGCTTTGGGTTACTGACTAGACTTCTCAATTTGAAATATGATGTAATAATCCAACATCTATTATTTTTAAAGGGCCCTACATTTTCTACTATCCCTCCATATTCAAATTTGCTGAGTGACATCATTATATTATGAGCATCATAACTGCTGTAGTTAATACATATTAAGCACTATACAATACATATAAAACATTGTCAATATGCTTTTCTAAAGCACTTTGTAGATATTAATTCATTTGTTCCTCACAAGAAGGTATGGGGATCTAAAATCAAAATAGCTTAGAGATGAAAGCAGATGTCTTTTAAACAAACGAAATAGGACCCAGCTTTTGTTTTTAACATATATAACAATTTGTCTGATTTAGAGTAAACCTTTCTGATCTAAAAAGATACAATATAGAAAGCAGTGCAAAACTGACACCTAAATCTGGTATTTATTGTTAAAAACTGGTTTAGTCAAGAAGTTTCCAAATGAAGCCTTAAGTAGAAAGTGTTAACAGTAATACATTCAAGCTCATTGTAAAATCCAAAGTGCAGATGATGCACCAAGATTTGTTAAGATTTGTTAAAATAAAGATGGAAACAAAAATATCCATCAGTATCCATCGTTGCAGAGAAACTGGAGTCTACTTGTAGCAATAAGACCCTAAGCCAGTAAGACACTGCTATTTTCAATGCAAATTAGCATAATTACCACATTTATGTTACTCAAAATGCTTTTTTCTCTATCAGTGTTATTTCCTTGTTGTCTGAAAAAGCAACTTTATGATGCAATTTCTAAAAGTAGCTGTGTCCAGTTAAAAAGAACTAAAATTTATCTGCCTGAAAAAATTTCTCTTATGGAATTTTGGTACATACTATCCTCATTCTAAGGACCTTTTGCACATACCGAGGTGTAATAAAAAAACATGGTGAATGTTTAAATTAAAAAATGTATTACAGTAAAAGACACATTGCCGTTAATCCCCCTCAAAATAGTCCCTCTCACTTCGAACACTTATCCCATCGTTCTTGCCACTTTCTGAAGCAGTTCTGGAAGTCCTTTTTCGTGTCTTTAGCTGTACTGTCATGGCTGCCTGGATGTCCTGAATCA